TTTAGGGCTTAGGGTTTAGGGAAGTCTTGAGGCTGGCTCCCCGGTGCGCGCTGCGCCCTAGGCCCTCGGAGCACCGAGCTCCTTCGCTCGAGTGCTTCGTGTTTCCTTGCGCCTTCTGTGATGCTTGAGCGGTCCAGTCTGAACACATGTGACAATATTAGTACATGTCATACACTAATTCACGAATTAATAGCTCAACCGACTGTGATGCGACACAATACGGCACAAACACATTTGAGACGTGCCTTCTAACACCGGCTATTCAGACGTGCGAAACATAGTATTATCTGATACTATGTTATACTGTGATAGTTTGTATTATGTTATAGAAAAAATGTTATGCGATAACATAGCATGATTTCGACTGCATTATGATATACTATGTGAGAGTATAGTGAAGCATGGCAAGGCAAAGTATATTGTAAGGTCTACTATACCACACTGTGACAGGACATGATAGGATATGGTATTATATGACATCTTGTGATATGGTGAAATATGATATGACATGAAATTATATGGTGTAATGAGCTATGTCATAAAACATAATGCATCAACATATCACATACTGCAACATAGCACGATGTAATTCAGGAGTATATTGCATACAGCAATAAAACATAACTATGTGTCTATGTAAGTACACGTATATACCTACATGACATCGTTTGGTTTGATACGTGTATGCAAACACACCTGGGCATATGCATGCAACACACTTGTATGTCTCCAAAATCACATGTATATCTGTATGTATGTACACACATGTATGTAGACATACATATATACAGATAGCTAAATGTGTACATAGCAGACACACACACATAGACATAAACATCTAATATAATATGGTATAATTGAATATAATACAGGTACATATGTGTGTTTACATATCGAAACATATACTTATATATATATATATATACATATATATATAGAGAGAGACACACGCAAAAAACCGTAAATACATAACTTATGTCTGCGTGCGCTGTCTGCCAAGTCCAAGCGCGGCTGCTCAAGCCAACCGCGTGCCTTGCGACCAAGGCCTCAAAGAGAGCATGGCGAAGCGAAGCAGCCCGGCGTATTTGCCTGGCAAGCAAGGGCAACCCGGAAAAGAGGAGACAGCAAGAGAGACAGAGAGAGTGAGGGAGACTGACTGCGAGAGAACTTGAGATTAGGCGATCGAGACCAAGAGATCAACGAGACTGATACAACTACACGGAGGGAGAGACATGCATAGATAGACCAGATGAAGTAGCTCGACCCGACATGCGGATTTGCAGAGATGTAAAGTTTGAAGACGGGAGCGATGACTAATATAGGGGCCTTAATAATCAGCAAAAGGTTTTGGGGGCTCCTTATTATAAGTATAGTATATAGTACACCCCAAAGCCCTATTCTAATTATTAAGGCCCCTACACTATACCCTATACTAACCCTCATAGAACCAACCCTCACAGGAACCCTTTAAAGGCCCCCGTACACTACAGCTCTTCATCTGAGGCACACCCAGCTCAAAGAAGACCAGTGATAGCGCGGGTGGATGCTGCGCAGCCTGAGATGGGTTTAGGGGGTTTAGGATTTAGGGTTTTTGGGTTTAGGGTTTTAGGTTTTTAAGGTTTAGGGCTTTAGGGTTTCAGGCTTTAGGGCTTAAGGGTTCAGTCGGGCAATCCGGGTGCGGGAAGCTCTGCCGGCAGCAAAATTCCCTTGAGAGCATAACGGCTGGACACACAAGAACCCTATGATCCAAACACCTGTTCAACTGCACTTTTATGCACGGCTGTTTCGCCATTCCGTTTCTGCAACAAAGACAAACTGCATCGCAAACGGCTACTCTGGAAAGCAGTGCAAGGAAAACGGAAATCAAACCCAGCAGTGCTTTCTTTTGCAAGGTCAAGATTCGTGGTGTCCCTGGACATGGAAGCATCTCCCAGAGGAGCACATCAAATCTTCTCAAATATCATCTGGAAGCTTCAGTGCTGAGTGACAAGGATGGCTTTTCGGTAACTTGTGTCAATGCCACGTGGGACGGAAAACGACCTTCAACTGGGACCACCCCTAGAAGCACAGTTCCCTAGGTAGCTGAATCCCTGAACCCGAAACCCAAAACCTTATAGTAACCCCCTAAACCCTAGACCTGAAGCCCAAAAACCCTCAACCCTAAATCTTAAACCTCTGAAGCCTCAGCGCTGAATCTTCAACCGCTGACCCCCAACAAAGCTCAGAGCTGAGAGGCACAAGCTTCAAAGCGTAGGCCCAGAGCAGCCGACCCTTGGAGAGCCCGAAGCCGGAGATGTCTGCAGCCTGCCTGGAGTTATAGTCTATTATAGTATCTTATAGGATGGTATAGTATAGTCTAGTCTAGTCTAGCATAGTATCTTATAGTATCTTATAGTGTATCAAGGTATGTTATAGTGCATACTGTGGTAGAGTATAGTACATTCTAGTTTTTTATTTGAGCATGGAATTTACGACTTGTTGCTTTCAATGGCTGTTTGTGAATCTGCCCCTGGAGATATCCGGAGTCACGGGGTTGAGGGGTTTAGGCTTTAGATGGTTTTTGGCTGCAGGGCTGCTAGCTCCTGCTAGGTTCGGGTTGATGCAGTTTCGGTGTTCGCACTCGGACTCTCCAGGCCAGGCATGTGTCCACGAGGTCTCTGGTGAGTGAAAGAAGGAGCTGGCCTCTGGAAAGAAAGGCTAAGACTGTCACTACCCGACAAAGCTAAGTTAACCTTGGCGGTTTAGGGTTTAGGAATAAGGCTTCGGTGGGGAGCTGTCGGCACGACATTCAAGAGAGAACGACGAAGTGACCCAGGGCAGCGTTCTGTGCCTGCCTACTGAAATCTCGAATGCAGGACCTGTGTAAACACAAATACGACTCACTGTTCATCCTTATGCTCGGCAGAGGCCGGAATGCAAGATGCTTAACAAGGAGGCCGCGTCGGATGATGTTGGGGCATACATATATATATATATATACATGTCTATCTATCTATCTATCTATCTATCTATCTATCTATCTCTCCCTCTCTCTCTCTCTCTCGGAACCCCCATCCTTCTAAAACCCTTCTAGAGCCCTTTTAGAGCGCCACGGTTAAGCCTGTATACAGTATCTAAACGCAGATCCTCCAGAAACCCCTCGCAGAGCCTCTACAGAGCTCCATCCTGGGTTCAAACAAGGTCAGGTATATGAACAAATGTAAAAGTAACCAAAGAGCAAAACAAGATACCACTAAAGGTCCTACAACAGTATAAAAGTAACCATAGGGCAAAACAAGATACCACTGAAGATCCTACACCAGTATACGCCTGTATGATGATGGCGGAGGCTTCCACTGGAAGAGATTGTCTTGCCGGACCCAGCTCTGCACGTAGCCTAGGACTCAGGGTTTGGAAGTGAAAGCTGTTGTGTTCAGAGCTTAGGGTTTCAATCGAGGGGCCTTAATAATTAGAAGGTCTTGGGGCTATATTAAACTATAGACTATAGTTATAGTAAGGAGCCCCCAACATAGTATAGATAATTAACCCTAAACCCTAAACCCTAAACCTACTATTCAGGCCCCCATCGCAGGGTTTCTTAGGGTTGTGGGCTTCACGGTGTTTCGGGGAGCTTACGAGCAGGATCGGGGGCCAGAGTCTGGGGGGTTTCGGGGCTTCCCACTTAGGGTTTAGGGGTTTAGGGTTTAGGGTTTGGGGGTTCAGGGTTCAGGGGTTTAGAGTTTGGGGGTTTAGGGTTTCGGGTTTAGTAGGGGTTTCGGCGCTCACACTCGGACACCCCAGGCGAGGCATATGGTTCGAGGTCTGCAAAGAAGTGAAATACTCATCAAGAGAAAGAGTTTAGGGGTTTAGGGTGTTTTGCCTCCCACCTAGCAAAAGAACCTTAAACCCCTAAGCCCTATAAACCTAAACCCAGGGTTTAGGGGTTCGGGAGTATCACACAAGCAGAAAGCAACGAAGCTCACTTAAACAGTGGAACGGAAGGTTGCAGTAGCTTAGTCTTACCGTGCTACTACACTGAAAGGAGCATTTGCAATACTTGAGCAAGAACACAATAACTATACGTAGCATATGCACAGGTTGAAACGCCTTGGGGAATGTCATGCCATAAGCAGGGTAGCGAACACAACATGCTATGAGTGGTATCAGGTTCAGCTGAGCTGGACCCGGCCTGAATCACCCTTTTGCACCTGGCTTGCAACGTCACGCCAGGACAGCTGACTCGCTTCAGGCCCCCTAAACCCTGAACCCTAAACCCAGGGAATTTAAAACCTGAAAAAAATCGAGACGTGCGGCCGATGATGGCCGCTAAGCCCTTCAGCTGAGTCATATCCAGTAGAGTGGAAAGCTCCTGCTACGGTTTAAGGTTTAGGGTTCACGCCGGGCTTTATTTATGAAGGCTTGGTCTGTTGGAACCTTGGAGTGTGTCTTCGTGCTCGATGCACACGAGCGTGCAAGCAACCCCACCCTAAACCTGAAAATGGGGGCCTTCATAATTAACGGCAGTTGCTATGTCCGTGAGTGGGGTGGGGGTAGCCAGGGGGTTGCGCAGTGGCTCACAAGCGGGTCCTGTATGTCAAGATCCACATCCAAATGTGGCTCGCCGCCGGATCCTTGCTTAACTCTTCTACCATCCACAGACGAATTTGGGGCTCAGGGCCTAGAGAGTCTGTTTTCTTCATTCCCAAGTACCAACCTGACGAGAGTGGAGTATCTTGTCTACGAATCCTTCAGGCCCGAGCTCGAGTCCACCTCGTGAGAGCATAGGGACCACATGAAGCTACCGGATCAGGGATGTTGGTAGGGTTTCCGGCGGCCGCGTGTAGAAACACCCCCCGAAACACATGAGAGCTGTCACAAGGAAGCCTGAACTCTATACCTAAACCGAACACCTCAACTTCAAACCCGAAACCTTCGAGTCAAGAGACTCCTCCGAAGCGAATTATCCCGAGCAGCCGACCCCTCCGCAGAGTCAAAACCCCTCAAGGAGGAAGAGCAGTTCGACTCCTACTATTGCTAATCATGCTAATCCTTATGGCTTCCTCCTTGCAACTATGGTAGAATATACCCTAGTTTACCCCAAAGCTATCTCACCCCAACAGCATGATGGGAGTACCGCCTCCCGGTCAGGAAGGCGATAAGCTACATCCAACGAGATCCATCAAATTGCCACCAAACACCACTGAAGCCCTCGATCCTAAGCTGAATTCACAGCAATTAACTCAGCCCTAACCGCTGTCCCTGTATCGCAAACTGACTTCAGAACATTCCATCACGCTAAACTCTTTTTCACAAGGGACTCTGCTGCTGCCCTTACTGCCCAGCTTGACCCACAAGACAGTACTCACGCTAAACTCTAAACCCTGAATCCAAAACATCCTTTTGCGCATAAATTACGCCGAAGGAGCCCTTGAAGGGCAGGCAAACGAAATGGAGGCTGAAGTTGCAGGGCTCCACCTTAGAACGAGAAGGCCTGGGGCTTAGGGTTTCGACTCACACACTCGCACGAGGCTGGCATGGCATATAGCGTGCGAGCTGTTTTCCTTTTTGCGCATGGCAGAAAACTATGCTCACAGGCGAGGTTGAACAGGTGTGCAAGGCATGCGAGCTTAGGGTTTAGGGTTTCGACCCCTTTGGGCTTTGGGTTGGGTGCTTTGGGGTAGAAACTCAATTTTGTTGAATAAGAAGTTGTGGTGTCAAAGAGAAGCCGGTACTCGGGGATTTTTCTACCACGGTTCCGAGATGTAGGAACGAGATACTGATATTGAAACTTCTGCAAGGCTTCATGTGTTAGCGAATGAACAGAGGCGTCTGGCAAACGCAGAAAATAGCTACACCTACTAACTATTCCATACCGTATGAGCTGTCTTCTGTTGCCAGCCTTATACACTTATTATAGCACAGAAAGCCGCTCGAAGCTACCTGCGTGCGCGGTTGAGAGTGCATACATTCTGTACTACAAGCCTTCCAATCAGCGGCTGAGGCTTCGTGGTACAATCAATCACGCAAGTTTGGGCCCCAGGGACACGAAAACGTGAAGTACCTGTCGAACACCAAGAACTCCAGACCCTAATCCCCTTAGTCCGAAATCGGGGTACGATGATGTATTGTCCTAAACACTTGGGGACCCTCCCGCCCAAACGAACATCGCTTTGGCTAGAAGCCCAAATTCAAACAGCCCTGTAAGTCGCCTGGGACGGATTTGGCAATTGGATTTTTGCGGCGAGCTCTGTGCGTGTCCGGTGGTTGTAGGTCCTTGTAGGTACGAGCCAACTGAGATGCTTTCTTAACCAGCAAACAAGCGGCCTGGGCGCTTAGTTCTCGGGTCTTGCCAGGAGTTTCAGACATGGCTCGTATACTTCGTCGCATCCTTCTTTCCGGCGTGACTGAGCTATCAGCTCCATCTCATACGGACTTGCAAGTCATTTGCACACTGGTCGCAGGAAAGACGGTGGCTGTGGGTGCATGTTAGGCTTTGGGCGTTTGTGCCATCACCCAACCGGTGGAAGGGCACCTGTGTGCCCGAAGCTAAGTGGAGAGCATGCTTCTTATGCAACCGCTCTCCCAACTAATGGCCTTTGCCTTTTGTGCAAATGCCTCGTACATGCGAGGGTCGAGAACCGAAAGAACCTAAGATCTTGATCACCATATGCCATGATGCACCTGTACCGTACTAGGTTGCTATCGTTAAGCGACCATATCATATTTCACTCAGACATGTATCACTAGGTCCTGAAATTACCGTAATTGCCTCATAAAGCAACATTGTCTCTTCTTCTGTTTGTCTGGTTTATTTCAACCTGATATAATCCAGTCTAGTGTTGCCGAACCTAATTAAATCTTACCTAACCCAATCTAATCTGATCTATCTCTCTGCCTGTCTATCTATGTAGAGATCTATCAACCTACCTATGTCTATAAGCTAGCCAGCTAGCTAGCTATATCCATCTAACTATCTAAATAAATAAATAAATATATCTCTCTCTCTCTATATATATATATATCCTTTTACACACTATAGGTCTTTAGAGTATGCTGCGACACATTTCGATGTACAATCATGCGCTTCAGAATTGATCTGCTTACGAGGCCTCGCAAGGCTGGCTCTGAATTGGGCATGCGGGGTGCGCGGCTCCTTGACCGGGCCCCCCAACTTAAATTCCTAACAGATTCTGGCAGGCCTTCCTACCAAAGGTCTACTCTTCTGCATTATCCCTTGTTCATAGCTGCGCGGCAAAGATTTCAGGCACCACCATGGAGACCCTGAAACATGGCTTTCTTGGCCTTCTGCCTCCTCTTCTTCTCTCCCTTGTCACACAAGTGGCAAAAGGAGCACATCTGGCCTGGGCTGTTCTGCAATCCACCGGGAACAGTGCATACTGCAGGGGCCTTGACAATTCGAATAGGGCTTTGGGGTATATCATACTATAATTAAAGTAGGGATCCCCACAAATAATATGGGTAATCATTTAGGCCCCTATATTACTGTTTGGGGCGAGTTCTACTATTAGAATAGGAACGCAGAAGCCAAAACAGCACCCTAAACCCTAAACCCTAAACCGAAAACCCTAAACCCTAAACCCTAAATCCTAAACCCAAAACCCAAAACCCTAAACAGGATACCACAAAAGATCGCAGTGGCCGTTGACGCAGCCCTTGGCGTGGAGGAAGGCGCAGGGCCGACAGTCTTTCCTGGGCTGGGTTCCTTGTTAAGGGAACTAATTTAAGTTACCATCATCAAAACGGAATCCATATTAATTACTATAGGGTTTAGGGTTAAAAGTATCCATGTTGATTACTATAGGTTCCTATTATGGGAACTTAAACCCCAAACCCTACACCCTAGACCCTAAATTCCGAACCCGAAACCCTAAACCCTAAACCCTAAACTCTAAACCCTAAACCCTAAACCCTAAACCCCAAACCCCCTTAACAAGAACCCAGCTTCGTGAAATGGCCTCTGGAGCCGAGACTTGGAAGCTCCTGCGGGCAGAAAGCGCTGGATAATCTCCCCAAAAAAAGATACCCTAAACCCTAAACTTTAGGGTTTAGAGTTTAGGGGTTTGGAGTTTTTCGGGTTTAGGGTTTCCCGAAAAACTTGATACCCTAACCTCAAAGATATCATAGACCCTTCAAGAAGCCTTAGAGATCCCTTATAATTTGACAAGATCTCCAACAGGAGATGAACGACTCATATAAAAACCTTAGAGATCCCTTAAAATAGGAATAGATAGTAGCACCTGTTATAGTATCCGCTACAGCAAACCCTTGAGAATAGCCCTTCTCATGCCAAGGTTTGTGGAAGTTCTGGAGATCCCATATTACAGGAGCCCTTCTAGGAACTCTCAAAGGGCCCTGAACTCTCAACCCGTCTCCTCGGGGCTGAAAGGGCTGGGATCCTGGTAGCTGTAGGACACTTGGGGTGCTTGGGCTGCCTCGTAGGGCAAGCTGGGTGCTTCGAAGAGGGCATCTTCAAGGCAAATCACGGGTCTGCTGCTTGGGATGGGCGGAAACTCATCGGTATCATCTTCCTCGAAGAGCTTCTCAATCCACCCGATGTGGCTAGCTGGACAGGAAAAAACATGTTTCGAAGCATCTTCCACGCCATTTTCGGGTGTCGCTACGTGGATGAATGTGTTGCGAACTTGGACTGCCTCGGGCGGATAGATCTCTGCATCTGCATCCTCCGGGATGGAGATCTGCATGTTATCCCGGCACCTGTGCAGCCCCGAGTCCAAGTAAGGGTGGCCCACTGACGCCATCATGTCCATTGCCATCGACATTCCTACGGCTTCTCGAAGCCGGCAAAACCTACACCAAGCTTGAGCCTGTCCAAACTACCAGCGGAGAACTTGGCTGGAGCTTCCTTCCGAAGCGCTACTATGATGATTACGAGTAACACCAGTATCACCATTACAGTTAATATCAGGTAGCCCAGCAACTTTCGAATGCAAGTGCGCTATGCAATAGACTCGCTGCGCAAATACGAAAACAGGGGCAAGATGAGCCAAGGTGCCAAGTACTTATGCTGGCCGATGATGTCCCGCAAGCGTCGAGCTTTCTCACGTAAACGGTGCTGAGACAGATGCACGGCATGAGGACCTGCACGACCCAATCTACGTGGAGGAGGGCACAAGTTACTTCGTCCATTCCCGTAGCTGCAGAGACAGCATGCCACGATGCCGCAGTTTCAATCTGGTGGAACACAGATGTTCTTCCGTTTTGAGACCTGATAAGTCATGCTTGAGAGGAGTTAACTATCCCCTCCAAGTGAAAACGGACTCCAAACACGGCAGCCGCAAGCTGCAGACGCTCCGGAAAGACATTCCAATGGCCGGCGGTTTGGCCCGTCTACGCCCGATAAGCACGCCTTCCAACGAAAACTTCATGAAACACGCGCCGCGGCCTTGTCGTTCATCCAGCATCTGTTGCATGACAAAGCGGCTGATGCCATAGCGCAAACGCTCCCATTTCCTTCCACGATGAGGAAAAGTGGTTTAGAGTTTAGGGTTTCAAAGCTGGAAACCCTAACCCAGCACAGAAGGTTCCCGAGCGTACGGTGAAGCGATGCCTGAGGATCTTCCGGGTCTTCAGGAAATCGGAAACGCTGCAGCCGCTATCCTCAGTGTGCAGGGGAGCATGCTTAGTTTGCTCGGATCGTAGGTGGTGACAGTGGTGGCTGAGATAGTAGTAGTAGTAGTAGTAGTAGTAGTAGTAGTAGTAGTAGTGATAGTAGTAGTAGTAGTAGTAGTAGTAGTATTCGTAGTAGCAGTAGAAGTAGCAGTAGCAGTAGCAGTAGCAGTAGCAGTAGCAGTAGCAGTAGCAGTAGCAGCACCTGCAGCA